CTTACCTCTTCTCCAAGTTGTACTCCCCAAGCTATGTATTCCTATATATACTTTGTTTTTCTCATGGAATATACACAACACAATTCATTCTCTCTTTCTTTTATTTATAACACGTTATCATAACGATAGTCTCGTCGTCTGAGCACGAAACCCTAATCACTAAGTAAAACCTTAGCCGCTTGACCTAAGAAAGAATCTTTACTGTTTTCTCGATCTTGGAGCGACATCTATGCCGAATCATTAACCGATGCCATTTCCGATCTCCATCGACGACATTTCCATTAGTAATGTGTCATGTCAAATATTTAGAATTAAGTTAATTTTATTTTTGTTGATAATTGGAAAYTAAGACATAATTTTCTTATTTCATTAACATATAACTTCAAGTAATTTCCAAATTTGTGGATTTAATTTTCTATTTCAATTTTAGATACTATAGATTAAGAAATTTCGTTATTTCAAAAGTCTTAAATATTAAAAAACGTGATTATTTCTAGAAAAAGGAAAATAATCCCAATAGAATAGGATCTTTAGTGAAAATCGAAAACTAACACCCTTGCCATCGACCATGATTTGGGCCACGATTTTTTGATGATTTTGTTTATTTGGCCATGATTTTTTTTTTATGTAATATTAATGGGCTTGATTGAAATTTTGTGTGTTTAGGCCCTTAACTAATCTAAATAACTTTTATATTTATTTTATGGATATATTATATGGATATTTGGAAATAATATTTTTGTATCTTTCTTTTATTCCATTTTGTTATTTTTATTTTRTWATAGTTCTATATTCRTTTATATCTATACTAMTATTAAAYTTTTACTAATTTTCCATGTTTTACTCATAACTAAAACCCTAGGTTTTGTGTTGTGTATATATACACGTTCTTTTTTACCTCATTGCACATCGTTTTTTCGTTTTTTTAATATATATCTTTAGGTTTGTTGATTTAGTTCTTCTCTCGCTTTTTGTATTTCTTTAAATTGTTTGGAGTTGTTTCTAATGAGTTT